TGCCCTTCCAGTGCGGGCGATACCTCGTCGCCGTGCCTAGCTCTCTCCAAGAGCCGTTTCGCGCCCCGGTCGAAGAAATTCTGGAAGATCTGGTCGAACGGGCCGCGGAGGCGGGAGACCGGCGGGGGCAGGACCTCGCAGATCAGGATGGCGAGGTGGAGCGTGAGCGTCTCGGTCGAGGTGGGGAGGGAGTGCATGGTTTGTTCTTTCTTTCTTTCTTCCTCTTCAAGCCCTGATGGACTATGTATAAGGCAATGAATTGGTTGTTTATGTTGGTGTCGCTCAAGAGTGTTCTGTGCCTGACGGGTTCTCGAAATAGAGAAGAGAACAAATGTCCGACAACGACGATGGAGTGATCGAATGCTCTATTCAGATCTCATCCCTCAGTCATGGAGATATATATCTCTTCTATCTATCCGCCCAACAACAGAGTCATCAACCACGCCCTCCCAGTGTGCTTGATAAGAGATATACGACAAAGTATCCACTCTGACTCTCCCGAAAATGGGCATCCGTCGTCATGATCCACCAATCACCGCTCGAGAACTCCCCTTCCTAAACGGGGTGTTTCTTGAGTTTCTGGCCTTCTCCTGGTCGATGAGGATAACTCGTACCGCAGTACATATTGCTTACTCCTTGGGACTTCATGAGGAATGTGATAGCTTATCATGTCCCATGAACGGTTGGGAGAGATGTGATGTATTATTTATACACTGACCAGGTAGGTTTCCAGCCACTGGTCCGAATGAGCTGCGAGTTTGATTTGCTCTGCGCCGTAATGTTACATGAGCCACTTACTCTACCTCGTAAGTTCAGGAGCTCGACAGTCTTATCAAATGCTCTTGACTAGTTCTCCGAGGAACTCTTCGCGGCGGTTGAAGAACAGGCTCGCGTGCGTCTCGTCCTCGACTCGAAGGGCTGCCTGTCCGCCTAATCGCTGAGCTATCGTTTCCCCGTGGTACTGCGGCACGTTGACGTCCATCTTCGCATACCACAGCTGCACGGGCAGGTCGGGACGGATATCTTCGATGCGAAACCCGAGGGGCGAGCTGAGCAGACGGCCGTCCTGGAGGGTGGTGTCGTAGCCCTGGGCGAAGGTGGCTCGCGACGTGCGCATGAACCGCCCGGCATTGACTGGGTCTTTCATGACCTCGTGGTCTTTCTGCTCGGCCGGCGTCTTGGGCGGCGCGGCAAATTCCTTCATGTGGCGCGCTAGGCGCTCCTCGTCGCTGAGGTCCATGCGGCCCATCGTCTGCGTCTGCCAGAACCACCGGTTGATGAAGTAGGGCGTGTACCGGTACCCGAAGGTGAAGCCGATCCAGTTCAACCACCGCGCGCCTTTCATGCCGATCTCGTACACGGGGCCCAGGCCGCAGACGATCGAGACGCACTTGAGCTTGTCGCGGGGCATGGCGTAGGCGCAGGCGAGGGCGTATGGTCCGCCGCCAGAGACTCCCTATGTCAGTCAGCATCAACACTCGGTCATAAATCATCTTGGTTTTTCTAGTCTCGCCTCCAAGTTCAAGCTCTCTCGGGAGAGATCGCGTACGTACCAGGACACCATACTTGTCCAGCTTCAGATGATCTGCCAGCCGTTCGAGATCTTTGGGGTGGTCGAGGAGTGTTCTGCCCGGCTGTGGTGAGCTCAATCCAATCCCCGGCCTGTCCGCGCAGATGATGCGGGCTCCTAGTTTCAAACCCAGATCGTGCAGATGGGCGCCTTCCAGGCGCGATCCGGGGTGGCCGTGCAGGAAAAAGATGGCACGTCCTGTCGGGGAGCCGAACTGTACGTATCCCAGTTTTCGCCCGTCTGGGAGGACAAGAGTGTCGGAGTTGTCGATGTCCATGTCACCCATGGTGGTGGTCTGTGATATTGGTGTAGATGTGTCGAGAGCGCGGACCTCGACTATTGACTGTGTTATACCTTGTCAAGCAAGACGTGCTCAAGCGACGATGTTGGCGTGTTACATGTGCATATCATATATGATGTACGAGGTAGGGCTATTACAAAGCGTTCCCGTGCCTGATACTTTGGACCACGGACTCTGCATTGGGAGAGCCATAGCCACGGGGTCAGAGAGAGACATAGAAAGCCTCGGTCGGTTGCGGCCTGGAGCTCCGATAGAACCCGTGAGTGACTCAGAGGGAAATAGGCGAGCACAACCGAGTACGAGGGGACGAGTTTACGAGTAGGTCTTTGTTTGGTCTCTATGCTTTTATCCTTCAAGGCATTTTGCCTGTGTGTTTCAAGTATCTCGTAGGTAGGTTGGTAGGTTATGCGAAAGAACCCGGCTTGGTAGGGGACTTTCGGGTGGTAATCACTCCAAACACATTCCTCGTGCCTTCAAGTTGCACTTTGTACTTCTGTGGGGTAGAGATTGATCTTCATCCCTAGCAGGGTTGACTGTCGCCTGAGACTAAAGCCTAGATGGGCCACTGAGACGTGAAGTCGAGGTCACCAGGCACATGAGGCCAGCCACTTGGGGGGCCTTTAGCGAACTCGGGCGGCCGCTCGCTAAGGTTTGGTGCGCCACATTAGACTCGACTAGGCGTTCTAGGGGCCAGTCACAGTTAAAATCCCCCGGAGACACCCGCAAATCCACAAGCCACTTAGGTACCCTGGATTCCTAGGCAGGCATGCACATTACTTCAGTACTGACTAGGCGTGCAAGGCCATCAAGGCTTGGCTGCGCATCCTTCGACCAAATCATCACCAGCACCTCCTCGTTACTCCTGCATCCATCGACTGCCAACCGACGTAGAACCGAGACAATGTCAAACGTCTTCAACACCGCATCTGATCAGGCATCACAGTGCACAGCAATACCAGCTACAACCTGGTCTTTTCCCCGGCTAAATTCATTTGATGTCACGCTCGGCGCAATCCTCGGTCGTGGGAGCCTCCGCCAAGGTGATGTGTCGATGAACATGTACCACGACATGTTACAACAGGTCGAGATGACACCGAGCACCGGTGGGTATGCGACTTTGAGGTCTTGACTAAGACATGACGCTGGTCCGACAACCGGGTTCTTGACAATGTGCGCACACTTTGACCGCTCAATCAAAGCCTGTGTGTGGGAGAGGCTGAAGTCAGCAAAATGTTTATGTCCATCACTAAAGTGAGGTAGGCAATCAGATCTGAAGCTGAAGCCTTGTGCGCCGACAAGAAATAAACTAGCCCGATTCTCATCGATTCTTGTGGTTTTTCCCTCTTCCGCGCGACTCGGTCTTCTTCAGTCAACAGCCTCGCTGGAACATTCAGAAGCTGGAACGTGCATAGAGGGGTCAGAATGGACAATCCATGGCCATCTCACATGTTTCAACAGAGACAGGCAATATCTCATTCGGACACGGTAGGCGCAGAGCTAGCACTGATCAAGTTCGAGCAGCGGCGGACGTGGAGCCACCGAAGTCATTTTGGCTATTGGCTTTACAGACTGACGAAGACGTCCAGTAATGAGAGATACACATGGATACACGTTTGAATCAATAACAAGTCCTGATGGACCAACTGCGGCCGCAACGAACCGCATCCTGCGGCGGTCTAGTGCAGGGCCTGCGGTATAGAAGGAACACTGACAGATCAGACGGATACAACCGTTGGCTCAACTCCCGTTTTCCAGACCAAGCAAAGAGTGTTGAGCAGCATTTTGACGCGTCCTTGGATTTGATATGGATGCTGTTCTCCGTACCCCGTCAGCTGTGGGGTGTTTCCACAACAAAGACCCCCGTGGGGACCCAACCAATGCTACGCACAACTGTACGAGCGATCCTTCTGGATCCCTCAAAACCTTACTTTCGCAGATGTTTCCTCCTCAAGAGACAGTCTGGTGATGGGAGACGTATTCGGTACATGGCTTCATTCCTAATCGAAAACGGAGGAGTCGGTTGAATTTAGGCAAAAACTGAGTGTGTAATTCTTGGGAGAATTCCCTCGAGCAAAGGGCGACAGAGTCAAAGAAATGAGAAGGAAAGAGAGGGAGAATAAAGTATAAAGATGGCTTGATATCTTCAGGAAACTCATCATTTTCACCACAAATAACAATCATCATCGAATCTCAACTTCCTCCGACTTGATCAAAACATCCAGCAGCAAAAGCCGCCAACACTCCTCTGAAAATGCAGGTCAAAACCATTCTCCTCGCCCTCATCCCCCTCATGGGTCTCGTCGCCGCAAACCCCATCGCCGCTCCTGAACCAGCTCCCGCTGCTGTCGCGGCTGGTGCCGAACTCCTCAAACGCTCCGTCTGCTCTGGTTGGTGCGGTGGTGGTACCGTATGTGTCCTGTCTTCTTTGCTTGTGTTATCCCTTTCGACTTCTCTCCCTTCCAGCAGCGTATACAACATGAGCCGAAAGATATTCGTGAAGTGACTGACCTTGTCCTCTAAAATGGATAGTGCTTCTGGACTTGCCCGGGAGAGTGCGGCGTCGCTGCCGGCTCGTGCAAATAGTGACGTACACGAAAGCATCGAACGCCATGATTGGAACCCTGCGAGTGACTGAGGTACATGGATAGAAATGCTCTGATGGGCAGGGTGTGGGAGAGACGAGCTGGTTCCAGAGAAGGGGTATGAGGCGATGCATATCGGTTTAGACAAGAAACATGTGCTGGTTCTCGCTCCGGACTGATACGTCGGTAGAGAGAGGAGGTAGAGGCTAGGGGGAGATAGAAAACAGGACATTCCTTGATGCATTCCTTCGTGTTCGTGTTATAGAATCGTGATGTCTTTGCTATCCAGGCGGTTTTGAGTGCCTCGCTTTCCCCTGGTCGCACCTCATCTTGCAGAGAGCCATGTGCGAGATTGTACTGACCGATTGACTGACTGACCGCCCTCAATCCTGCCTTACCCCTTGAACCTGATTCATCATTCATGCGACCTTGACCTTGACATTTGACGTGGTGAAGTGGTGCACCCACACCAGATGCCCAGGTATCTATCTACCCTAGACACCTTGATACCTAAGACCCAAGGTACCTAACATACGTAGGTAGACATTTAGAACCTCTTCTCGAGATTCCCGACCTCGGTATCAATGACACCGTCGATCGCACCATCCAAGGACGAGGGAACCCCCTCACTGGTCAGGAACTGGTTGACTTCTACACACACAACCACCGGTGTATATAAAATCAGCCCTTGTGTCTCTCTCTCTTGATACAATCTCGACGTGTGTGTGTGTCGGAGGTGGATACCTACCTTGGTTGATGTACGAATTCCCGGCGTTTTGCTCGATGCTCTTCATCAAGCCGCCGCCGGCTTGGCCGTTTTGTTGGCCTTGTTGGCCTTGCTGTTGCTGCTGCTGCTGCTGAGGCTGAGATGACTGGTTGTTCTGGCTCTGGTCGTCTGCTTGGTTTCCCATTTGACTTTCGAGGAATTGCTCGCCTTGTTTGAGGAGGTTGTCCATGGTCGTTGTTGTTGTCGTTGTGGATATCGGTATCGGTGTCGGTCTTGTTCAGTTGAATAAAAGGATGTGTTAGAGAGACAGTTGACCTGACTTTGAGAAAGATAAACCAAATATTGGGCGAGGGAATGATAGCATTTATACCTTTTGGCAAGGGCATCGAACCAGCTTCAATTTCAGCTCCAGCTCCAGCTCCAGCTCCAGCTACTCGTACAACTAAAGCGACACCCGAGACGCCTTTTTCCCACACATCTTAGGTACTCCTACCCATCGGCAATGCCGCACCCTACTTTGACTAGCCTTATCACACTGCCACTCGCACTTGTCCCCCGATTTCCTCGCGCGATGACGTGGCCCTCTTCGATCTCTGGTTCTGAGTGGTTTCCCGTTCCTGCATGGCGCGAACAAACACACAAGCACCCCCAAGCAATCGCTTGTGCAAGGCTTAGATTCTTACCGAGAGGATTTTATTCGCCAATGATAAAAGCGTGGTGATTGCTTTTTCCAAATAAGCATTGCGCTTCCCCCCCCCCCCCCCCCTCGCTTGGAGGCTATAGTGCCAGTAATTGTTTTGAGCATTTCTACGCGAAAGTTCACACAGTGGTCCCATACTTACTTACTCTGTAGTAGCGTACTCAACTCGTACAAGTACACTCTTAGTAGGCACTACTCCAACCAAAGCGATAACCGCGACAGTGAGGACAAGGACCCTTGTCCAGCTGAACGCTGAACAAACCCGGGTGCCGGAAAGGGGAATAGGTTTCCACCCACTAAATAACATAACCACCACATTTGAGCACATCACATCACCTCACATCGCACTGGTGAAAGCACTCCTCCTTTTTGATTTACGAGGATATATGAAAGAGTGCTCGAGAGTTCTGAACACGATTATTGACGGCATATGAGAGAACAGAACATGGAAAGAGACCAAGAGGTACGGCTGGCGCTTGTCTATGGGGTTTTGTATCCCTTTTTCATGGGTGGGTGCAGATCTGGGGGCGGTAGAGTGTCACAAGGTCCATACACACGCACAAGTTGAACGATTGAACATGTTTAATGGGGTGCAAGATCCGGAGTGTCCGAGTCATCGGAGCGTTGGCGAGTGCAAGGCTGGATCTCAAAGGGGTAAGCAGTTCTGTTCAACGCCATGATGTGATTCCGCGCTGAAAGACATTCCGTTGTTGCTTGTTAGATGGTAAGGAGCTGATCTCTTAAAACATAGTCAGCCAGAAAAATGCCTCTTCCTCATCAAAGACGAGATCTCCGGGAATGTGCAGGAGGAACCGGTAGATTCTCCTCCGCCCGGCTTTCGAAACAAGACGGGTCACACAATCGACTCCCTCAATCTCGCAGGACGATCCTAACCTCTCTACACCTTGTCATTCGCTCGGCTCATGCAGGTGGTGCGACCGCTCGTAGGTCATGTCGGCGCTCAGCTTCGACTCCTCGTTGATGAAGGGGACAAACTGCACGACCCGAACCCCAATCTGGGGAGCGACTTCGAGACATTCGCCCGACATGGGATTCTCGCCAAGCAGCGACTCAAAGGCCTCTAGCAGTCTCTCCATGGGCACCAGGACGCCGAGCTTTTCCGCCTTGTCGTACACGGCGGCGGTGGAGATTCCCGTCCGGATCTTGTTCGGGCACACGGCGTTGAGGGTGATGTGCTCCTCAGCGAGGATCTTACCGTACGAGCGGACGAAGCCTACGACGGCACTGCAACGTCTTGGTCAGTATTCCAGGACAGCGATGGGCAGAGGTAGGGTTGGTTGGGACGTACTGCTTTGCCGCGGTATAGATGGGGATGGTCTGGTGGATGTAGAATCCACAGACAGACGCCACGGGCATGACTGTATGTATACGGGATGAGTTTGGAATGACCAAGACAAACAATCAATAGACGAAGTCTTACTTTTCCCTCGGAAGCCATACTGGTTGGGCTGCTGGCGACGAAAGTGCTGGACAGCCAGGGACACGGTGTAGATGACACCAATGCCGTCGACTTCCAGCACGCTCAGGTCGGGCTTCTCGTATCCGGTCGAGTTGGGCCTGTTGGGGAACATGCGTCGCTCGCCAATGCCGGCAATCGGCAGCACGTAGTCGATGCGCTTGAATTCAGCCTCGGCAGCTTCCCATGCCTTTCGTTGCGAGTCCCAGTCCGCGACGTCGACCTGGACCGCCCACACGACCTGATCGCCGGTGTTGAGTTCGTCGGCTAGCGTCTGAGCGCCCTTGAGATCTCTGTCTGCCACGTAGACTTTGATTCTGTCGTTTCTGTCAGAAATACCCGATATCCTGAGGAGGAAATGTAATTACCCACCCCTTTTCTACCAACATCTTGGTAACTGCTCGCCCGATACCGCTGGCACCACCTACCTCGAATTAGCCCGTCACCAAGCAACATGGAAGTTCGGGGCTTGACAAACCCGTCAGAAAAGCAGTTTGCCCTTTATACGACATTTTGGCTGGCAGGCAGGTCTCAGACTCCAAGATCTCAAGACAGGTTATTCTTTCAATGCCACAAATCTAGAGGATGCTCCTCCCGATCATGACTTGATTTCCCTTTGGCCCAAGTCTCCTGGAATCTGCCAGGGGGACCAGACTCCGGCTCTCATAAGTATCCATCGTCAAAGCCACACGATGACCATATCGGCTCGACAGTTGAGAATAGCCGGATCAGCAGTGCGGGGAGAGGAAAGAACGTGAAGAGGGGTCACCGGGGGGGTTTAATATTGAGTGAAAATCCATGGAGCAGGCAATCGATGCCTGGGGAGACACCAACTTCTCCAACATGAAAAAAAAAAGCGCAGAACTTTGAACCGGTAATGTTCCCGGTAAAGTGTCGGTAGTCGACGACTCTACTACGTTCGTTCTCACAACCCGCGATATTATGTATGGCAGTCATGGCACTGCTCCGATAGAACCAACACGACACATACGTTCGATACCATGGCAGACTACTCGCAGTACCAAGGGCCGAATCCCGAGTGGGACGAGTTTGTTCGAGTGAACGGCGTCGCGCCGACGGGATTGGCCCCTGGCCAGACACCGGCGGACTTGAGACGATCGACGAATGCTCTGAGGGAGACGGCGGCCAAGATTGAACTCGAAGCGTCAGGTGCGTTTTGCGCAGGTGTTTGCTAATTGTGTGATGGCACCAATGCTAGCATAGACAGACTGTCTGTGTGTGTGTGGTGCTTGGGTCGAGAGAAGATTGTCATATAAATCTATTCTCGATGGGTGTTTGTTTGATTGTCGCAACATATGTATCCCCTCCGTCTGTTCTATACCATCCATCTCTCAACAGCACCTTGCCTCCCAAAATGACATTGTTCCATCAATACTGACGCTTCCCCTCCCCCCACCTCACAGGCCTCCTGGAAAAAGTGACGTGGCGAGACGCCGAAATTCGCACGCGCGACAACTCGACCGTTCCAGCACGCATCTACACCCCCAAAGGCGTCGACCCCTCCACCACCGGACCTCTACCCATCTACCTCTTCTTCCATGGCGGCGGCTATCTCTTTGGCAGTCTCGACACCGAAGACGCCAACTGCGCGCGCGTCGTGGCCATGTCTTCGATTCCCGTAATGGTCGTCCACGTCAATTACCGCCACACGCCGGACTTTCGGTACCCGACGCAGCACAACGACGCGTGGGACGCCTTCGTCTGGCTCGGCGAGAACATTGCCTCCTACGGCGGTGACCGCGAGAGGGTGATCGTCGGGGGCATCTCCGCGGGCGGCGGACTGACCGCGTCGGTCGTGCTCCGAGCACAAGGACGCCAGAAGAACGACGCCAGCGACAGTCCTGCCAAAATCGTCGGCCAACTCCTCCTCATCCCCTGGATCATGCACCCCAAAGCCTACCCGTTCGACCTGCTCGTGTCGACGGAACGGTCCAGCTTCCATCAAAACGCCAACGCGCCCGTGCTCCCCCACTCGCAGATCGACATGTTTCTCGGCGTCTTCGACAGCGAAGACACCGACCCGGCGGATATTTACCTCAGCACGGTGCTGGCACCGGACGACAAGGTGAAGGGGATGCCCAAGACGGTCGTCGTGGCGGCGGGCATGGATCCTTTGAGGGATGAGGCGCTCCTGTATGCGGACAAGTTGAAGAAGAATGGGTGAGTTCTTTCCTCCTCGCTATCCTTCCCTTCTGCTTCTGCTTCTGTCACTGTCACTGTCGCCACTACTGCACCCTTCTACCTACACGTCCACCCAACTTGTTATTTTCTTATCTCCTCCCTAAATTTACTACGCACACCGACCTGACCGCGATATCCAGCGTCCCCACCCGCGTCCACGTCTTCCCCGGCCTCCCACACGGTTTCCGGCGCTTCGCCACGCTCAAGGCCAGCGCGCGGTGGGACGCCGTGATTGTCGAGGGGATCCAGTGGTGTTTATCCGAGAACCGGGAGAGTTCTACGCAAGTTGAACTCTAGGGGTGGAGAGAGAGAGAGAGAGAGAGAGAGGAGCTAGAAAAGGTAAAATTGACCTTGAACTGACCGAGGGAGCTTGAAAGTGGTAGATGGTTTAGAGAGTCCATGGATCAGATATCAGATCAGAGATTAGAGAGGTATAGACCAGAGATTATAAGCGCGCGAGTATATACACCACAAAATACTTGGGGTCAGGCTCGAAGGTTCTATTGAGCCTTATCCTCAGCGTGAGAGGATGGAAGAGTTGTCAGTAGCTTCGGTAGATAGATGAATTGGATGGATAGACAGACAGATAGAGTGACACGCGACAAGACGTCAGTATGATTATATACCGCGCCCTCCTCCCAGACAGGTACATACGCTAGGATTTATAACATTTATGTATTCACTACCTCGTCTCGCTCGACCATGTCTAATCATTCACTCACTCACTCACTCAGCGTCTTCCTTTAGAATCTTCAGCACCGTCGACATGGCCCCGTCCTTGCCGCTGACCAGGTTCAGCCGCGTGGGGCCCGGGTTGTTGAAGAGGGGGATGACGCGCCACGACGCGGGC